GCAAGTCTGACCACCCAATCTGATTAGGCGTCTTAGACAAGCATGGATTGCGGGAAGACTAATTTTAACTGGGATCTTCACAGATAGATGAGACCAGGTGATTTTGGTGTAAATATATCAGTTTACATGTCAACACACTGTTGTATACAACAGCACCAAATATAGTATAACCAAATATAGTATTTGGTGTCTGTTGATAGGTTAAGGGTCCAGTGGGGTGAAATAGTGGTGAAAGAGTTTGTTCATCACGCTGAAGACCTCAGTTGATTCCCCAAATGAGTACAAAGCAGTCAGCCCATTTCTGGTGTTCCTTGCCATGATATTGGTGGAATATTGCAAAAAGCAGCATAAAACTTTACTCACTCACTTGATGGGTTAAATTATTCAGTGGACCTGTACTGGTCGTTGGTAGTTAAATATATATCTTGCATCATATTCCAATGATTTGTTCATAATCATATGTTGTTTGTAATCAGACTCTGAACCAAACAAACCAGTGATTGATATTATGAGCAACGGTGAACACAGTCACCAAAGATGGCCGATTTACAACCTATCACCTCTTCTGTTCAGCGTATGTTGCAAGTGGCCAGTTCTAGCCTTCAATACTTAATGTACGCTCAAATGAAATCATTAGCTAAGTTCAGGAGTTGAAGATTTAAAAACCAAAAAAACAACACTCGATTAGATCGAGCTCGAGGTGCGCAAATACACCATGACAAATTTAAATTTGTTTACACAGTGCACCGTCATTACCATGACTCATGAGCATGTAACACCCCAAATACCACGTCAACAAATCTTAAAATAAGTACACACTTCAACCATGTAATTTAATATATGCAGGGTTTCAGATAAAGGCCGTATCCGCTTATGTAGGGATATAACAAATGCACAATATGGTAGGAAATAATTTAGAAAACATAGCAGATACATACCACAGCAATGGTGTACATATTTATCTGAAAAAGTATTGTTTATTGACCTGTTTACACAAGAGTAGCAATGTTGTGGTGCATATATGAAACGAAACACACGATTACTGATACGCCATTAAATTCCATTCAGTACTCTAAATGTTTTCCAGTACTCCTGTACTGAACAAATATGGAGTATGTACTCCTGATGTTGAAAAGTTATCTGGAGCCCTGTGTATGGATACAAAAAGAGTTAATTGTATATCTGGACATATGTTTTTATTCTGTTTTATCGATTTTATTCAAAATATGTCCATTTAAGCTTGAATTTGCTGAGGGATACCATGTAGATATTTTCAAATTACTCAAAACTTTTTTTCCAAAAATACTGACTACTCAATAATTACGCATTATGTCTTTTGTTTTGATAATCATATTTGGAATATAACAAAATATATTTGAAAACTTCTTACAAATATGAGTTTTTTAAGGAAAAGGAGAACCTACAATTACGTGAGATCTCAAATTACCCATCTTCATTTTCATTGGCCAATCTGATTTGCTGCACTCATCGGTCTGGAGGACTGACCAATCAGAAGGCGAGTGACGAACCAGCCTCTATGTGATATCAACAACAGCAGCTGGTCACATCGAGTAAGGTGTTATTTCCAGGAAATGCAACTGAAAAACTGACAGACTCACACAAGAAAGCCTTCCAAGATCTTTTGATGGAATGGATGTATTCATGTTCATTAAAACTGACAGTGGCTTTAGATGCTAAGCAAAACAACAGTTACCTTCCTGACCCACTTCTATATCTCAATGTTAATTTGTCAATGAAAACAGCGATGGAAATCAAAGGCAGGTAATTTTAGATCATTAGAACCTAGTGTTGGTGCAGGTTGAATAAACGTGAGCCTCGGATGTACAGAGGGTGCTCTCGGAGGACAATGCTGTTCCAAGGGGAAGAAAGATTTCCTTCAGAGGAGTGTCTCATCATTCGTAACTATTCGCCTCTTTCCGTGACCTACAAGAAGACTCGTACCCCTATCGTACGCCATTATTGCCAAGAATTGTGGTAGCCCAAACAAATCGCGCGTAGTAAAACTCATTTCAAAGCATGAAAATGGCGGCATCGTTGAAGTTTGAAACATCGCTAAACTATGCAAAGCACATTTATACATGAACTTTGAGCTAAAGGATCAGAAACTTTAAACGCTGAAACATATTTACAAAGGGAATGACTGTATTGCTGTTTTGCCCACGGAATATAGGATATTCTATAAGCCATGTTTGGAAATTCAGAGTTATCTTTCCTTGGTAATAGTACTAGACTATTTTCATCTCCATGCCCATTTGCGCTTAGTCAGAGCCCAGTCGTAAACATGGCTACGAGGGGGGTACGAGACGCCATCCGGCTTGGCGGAATGACACGAGTAGTTACGAATGGTGTCTCATATGTTATCAGTGTTTGGGCTACAAAATATGTCATGTTAGAAGAAGAGTGGTAGTTTTGAATATCAGCAATATAATGGTAATTCATGAGAAAGTACCATATATTTAATATTGTTCAACAGTTAAAAAGGGACATTTTCAGTGGATCATATATACCCGGTATTCCATACTTTCGTCAGCCACCTTTCAGGCTCATTGAACATAAACAAACATAGAGGGTACATCAACCCATGTTCCACTTGTGACCAGTGAATAACTTATAATGTACAATGTGTTAAACAGATCTCTAGTGACTACAGCTCATGATTGTTTTTCACATGCCTTATTTGTACAAAATAATTAGAAATTATCAACTAAAGACAAATTCCAGATTTTGATAGTTATGACAATCTTAGTCAAAATGTTGCAAAAATCTGGCGGCATGCCACAATGTATGTCTCCCACAACTTGTCAGCTGTCAGAAGTGAACTAAATGTCTTTTCGTGGCGGGCTTCAGACCCGCAGGAACTATGTCATTACCCTCCACCATGACTGCAGTAATCTCATGTCAGGGCAGGATAACGACATGTGGAAGAGACTTTCTTCCCCTACCTTGTCAGAGCTTGTCATAATAACCAAATTATACATGCTCAACGTTTGTGCTAAACATGCTTTGGATACACCTCTACAGAAGCATTTAGTGAGGTAATGTCAAGTACATTTGAATCCCAACTACTTTGTTGATTGATCCATGTTTTTTTCTTTTTACAAAATCAAAGCTCAGAGTTCAAGATCGTATCGTAACTTTTCTTCGACGTAGCATTTGTACCTCCTATGTTACTGGTTATGTATAGGAGGTACGAATGCTACGAGAAAAGTTACGAGATCTTGGACTTACGAGAGCTTTGTGAAACAGGGCCCAGACTCTGAATGACAGATTAGATGTAACATCGTTTACCAAACAAAGAACGTCAGTGCAAAAGAATACCCTTGACTATCCTCAGAAACTAATTCCGTTTGGCGTAAAGGCAAAAATAGTTGTGAAAAATATATGAATGGATCACTGAAAATCAGTGATGACACCAGGTGTTCTCGAAACAGGTAAGCATGTCCTGCCCTTCCGGTAGCATCAGCCATTCACAATATGTACACAGTACAAAATTCTTGGATATTATTATCATTACTGGACATTTATATAGCACACATATCCACGCACTAGTGCATGCTCAAGGCACTGGTATTTTTCCCCTCGATCATTGGATGTCAATCTCAACGGCACATCTCATTATCAATCTCATCTGCCTGGGATCATACAACTCTTGCAGCCACAAGGCACACCGAGTTATTGCGGCTTTTCCATCCTTACGAGGTACCCATTCACAGCTGGGTGGACTGGGACACATAGTCACAGTACTTTGTCCAAGTTCACTGCATGTTGCTGTACCCGCAACTAGGTGTTTGCAAGTATTCATGTGGCCACAATCTGGTCATATACCAACGGATTCGTGGGTTCTTGTAACTGCACAGGGTTGTGTACTGTACACTAGGGGTTGTGACAACACTGAAAGAGTCTGCACACAAAGTTGACTCCAAGGTTTTTACACCCGGTCACAGGTGGGCTCGATCCCGGCACCTCATGCTCACTGGATCAAAAGCCTGGCGCCTTAGCCAGCTCGCCCACCACACACCCCTGTCTATGAAAGTCCTGTTCCTGATATGAGACAAAATGGAAATGAAATATTCCATCTGATCACCATATTTAATACGTCAGCAAGAAACCAACCACATGGTTATGTTCTGGGTAACTGGATCATAAATACTTATTGCTCTCATCCCCTCCACAAAATCTGCACAAATCATGTCATCCGAACCAACAGATGTTATCAACAGAAATTGGTAAAAGTTTATATGTTCCTACTGACAAACAGTTTATTACTTCAAGGAAAATATATCATGCAGAGGAAGCATCAAACATTTGAAATATTTCCTGTGTTGTAATTTTAATGTAAAATGTATATTCAATTGTGGTAAGAAGTAAATGGCAGCTCACCTCATGGACCACAGACCTTTCACCTTCAAACAATGCTTCCCAAAAACATTTTTGTTCAGGTAGCAGGTGCAAACCTCAAATTATTTGCACAAACATATTTTGCACACACTGTGCAAGGACTTCTAATGTAGGCCACCTGGGGCTCTTAAAATGGTCTTTTCATGAACAAATGAATACACATTACATGACAATCAGCCAGAGTTATTCACCATCAGCAACCTTGGCCTTGATCTACTCAACACAGAGAACAGCCAGTGATCTGATTTGGCTGCAGATATAAATGCCAATCAGATCGTTGACTATTTTCCGTGTGGGTAGATCAAGAGAAGGTCGTCAATGGCGAATGAGCCCGGTGACAGGTGCCATCGAAACAGCTGGTTTGGGTGCATGGCGTTTGTATGAAGGAAACATAAACAGGAAATGCTCCCTTTTTTATCACTTGAGTATACATGCAGTGTTGGACAGACTCCAGCACTTGGGTAATGACTGAATCAACAAAACTGTCGAACTTACCTAACTTCAACACATGCCAATAAACATAACAATTATTGTTTGATTAAAATAGATTGTAAATCAACTACAACAACACAAAAACCTACCTTGAATATGCTGAATTTGATCTCCAAGTCGGACTGAGAATGTTTCTCCTGGGTTGACGTGTACATGCACCACGTGTTGATGATTTGGAGGGGAGTTACCCGACTGACCCCCCGAACTACCCGTCTGCGGGCTCCCACCCCGCGAATGTGCATTTGATCCCGAATAGCTGTTAGGCGAGCCCGATCTATGGTTCACCGATGGCCGCGATGAATTAGGGGAGTTAACTCTGTTGGACTGCACTGACTGTTGTGTATTACTGTTGCTTGATGGGATATTATTTTCGGGAGTAACTCCATTCTTGAGGGTGTCATCTGCACTGAGATGTCCATTCTCTTCTGTCGCGGTCACACAAGCTGGGCCACTGGTCACTGAACTACAGTTTTGGTTGCGGTCCTTATGTTCAGACATTTTGGTAGCTCTTTCCCCTTCACGATCTCGTCGGGTCAAAATTTTTCTGAAAGAAAATTCAAACAAATTATTCAAAATGAGCAAATATGGAAGTGAATAAGGCAGATGTAGATCAGATTAAAAAATAGTGAAGTTTTAAATTTAGACAAATGTTAGAAACAATTAACTATTTCAAAATAAGAAATCGTGAATAAAAAATAACTATCATTTCTCTGTGTTGAGATGCATACAGTCTCTCTCTGTGCATCTGAGATATTCATCTTTGGAGATGCTGTTCTGTTGCAACTTTCTTATCACGCCTTTGTCCATATATTCAGTTTCAGACACGACAAATACACAGGACACTTTATCAAAGCATCTCATAAGCTACACCATGTGTAGAATCAAGGGCGGTAGCCTAGTGGTTAAAGCTTTTGCTTGTCATCCCAAAGGCCCGGGTTCGATTCCCAACATGGGTACCACGTGTGAAGCACAATTCTGGTGTCCCTGCCATGATATTGCTGGAATATTGCTAAAAGTGGCGTAAAACTAAACTCACTCACACACACTCTAGTGTTGGGAATTGGTTAAAATCTCACAATTGATGATTGGTTCATTACAACCGATCAATCATCGAAAAAAATTGGTTAGCGTGATTTATCAAATGCTTCTGGTTATTTGCTCCAAAATTGCACAAAATGCATTTACAAATTTCATATCTTTAAAGGAGGACTAGTATGTTAGGAACATAAATTTCCTTGAATCTTTAAGATAATTTCAATCATGACAAGGAACGAGCTTGTAGTACTTATGAAATGTAACAGACAAAACCAAGATGTGAAAAATGTTGTCAATGCAAACAAGTGTGCCAAAATTGTTTGTGTTCGATTATGAGAAAACATGATCGATTGCTTGGTCGTTAAGTCATTGCGACCAATCTTCGATTATTTCAATTAATCGGACCACCACTAATACACTCACTGAAGAGTCACAGTACCATTCACAACAAGCATCATTCAGCTATACACAACAGTCTGACTGATCTTGGAACATGAAAACCAATGATTGATAGTGTGAGCATATTTCAATGATATGAGCTACCTAACCCACACCAACTCACCAACATATCCATCCTAACTCCCACTCAGGGCACTACAACTTTACCCACTAGACTGAAACATGAGACAAAAGATCTGATCTGTTAAGATCAGCTTATACTAGTCAATATAATTCTGGTATTATGACTAAGGAAATGGAAGATGATGCTCAAATTCAAGTACGGGCAAATAACAGAAACAAGAACACAACATAGATAGTTTACCATTTCAGTCGTAATGCTTGTGAACCAGGACAAGAATGTGAGGTGTAATGGGGTAGATGTCACAGTCCCAACCCACCACTCATTGCTTAATCCCCTGCCAGGCACCAGGGTACCAGAGTTCCATGGTTGTAATGTCTTTGACACACCCAAGGATCAAACCAGCAACTTTACACCCTTCAGGCAGACACTATATCCACTTGACCATGGAGGCAGTCAAGATAATTAGCAAAACAAGGAGAATACTAGGAGCCATCGAGCGAATGAGTGAGTGAGTGAGTGAGTGAGTGAGTGAGTGAGTGAGTGAGTGAGTGAGTGAGTGAGTGAGTGAGTGAGTGAGTGAGTGAGTGAGTGAGTGAGTGAGTGAGTGAGTGAGTGAGTGAGTGAGTGAGGTTCTACACCACTTTTAGTGATATTCCAGAAGTATCACAGGGAGGAAACCCAACATGGGCTTCACACATTGTACCCATGTAGGGAATCGAACCCGGTGTAGCAGGCCATTTCTCTTCCGGTCGAAACTTTCTCTGGGAAGAATCTGGCCTAGGCCAAACTTTCCCCGAGCAAGTTATGTCCTAGGATATTCTTACCCCGTGGAAAGTTTGGGCTAGGCTAAAGTTTCCCCCCGAGAGGATGCTTCAACCATAAGACTACCCCTCCGCCCCAGGCACCCTTCAAGAACCACCAAGAAAACAATATATTTTTTCAGTAAGTTCAGCGCATCCACATACACCAAAACTATTCCCCACATTTCAAACATCAACGCTTGACAAATAAACCCAATCTCTATTTTGACATACAAACCATAACCCACTAACACCCCCACAAAATCTGCTGTAAACTCTTGGTTTCACATGTGTGTTGAATCCGCTTGACCTGTAGACTGGCATTGTTCATGCCCTTCACATTTCCCAGAAAAACATGACACAACAATAATAACAACTGCAGAAAGTTTTGTAGTTATGACATCACTGGTCAAATCCTGTTGACATTTCAATCCACATGTTGTCACTCTTGACCTTAAGTCCAGTCACCTGTATTTTGAACTCATCCAACTACAATGGGCCTTTGGACAGTAGGTCACATGTGCTTGCATTCACCATCAAGGGTGTTTTCCCAAGTCAACACAAATAAACAACTCAAGTGCTAAACAGAGTCTGTTTACATCACGTTTATTGAATGTTTACTGCTTCTTAATGGCTGCCGGGTTCAGTTGTCATTGATGACAATATACATGTACATATTTCAAAGTAATTTCAGCATACAAACAAAACCATTTGGAAAAATAACCACTCAAATACCCTTTCAGGACCATGTTTCAATGTTTGGAAAAAGGTAAACACCAGAATTATCTTTAAATGCTTACATACATTCTCATGTGGCTTCTGTTGATGACAAATGACACGTAAAGCCAGACCAAGAAAAAATACATCTGTTCTTACTTGTCCATCAGGATGTTGGTTCAATTAAACCATTCCCATTTGTCTCAATTAATGAATCACACAGCGTGAAACACATATTTCTGATAGCATCGAGACTCAGAGACTCTTCATCTCATCACCATCATACTGGAACAAGTTACAAATAGCTGACAAGTTACTTCTTTTCAATGTTGTCACTTAATAATAATTCACAAAATGTTAAAAATATATTACCATTAGAAAATATGTACTTTATCAAACAGACACGGTAATGCAAAAATGCAAAAATTTACACAAATGAGCACAGTCTTTTTACATTTAACTAGAGTTATTTTGATCTTCATAAAGATTGTTCAACAACTTCAAAGGTGGGTTTTGAAGATGTGATAATAATGTGTAAAGGCAAAAATCTGTCTCTACAATCTTCACAAAGTGAACCTGATCATTGCATAATTTTCGATCTATCTGCATGTTATTACGTTCTCAGTGAGAGAGGCAAATTTCTTGACGCCATAACAATGATCAAGCAATATGGTGGTCGGTGCTGTGAGAATCAATCCAGTGTATGATGATACACATGGTGACAGCCATTTATTCACTCAACGAGACATACAGTGTAAAAGTCTCCAAATCGCAATTTGAAGGAATTCCACACCTCTTGCAGTGCCTGCCCAAGTTCAGTGCCTGACACTGACACTCTATCATGTCTTAGACAGGTTCATTTGAGAAATGTCATGGCTCATCACTGGTTCTCGTGTTCTATGGATGGTTTCTCAATGTGAGCATTGATGATTGGTTCCTAGCAAACAGAGGCGACTAACGGGATCGGGTGGTCAGGCTCATGTGACTTCATTGACACATGTCCTCGTATCCCAATTGCATAGAACGATGCTCATGATGTTGATCACTGGATTGTCTGGTCCAGGCTTGATTATTTACAGACTGCTGTCATATAGCTGGAATATTGCTGAACTGAACTCACACACTCACAACAGAGGTGTTGACATCCTGAAAGACAAAACATTAACCCTTCCCTTCCAAATGGGACAACAATGGATGTCCCAATACAACTGTCAACTGACACCACAGTGCACAATATGGGGTGGAGTTTGGTTGATCAAAGCAAACCTACATCATATATAGACACAAGCACTGGGTCTAATCCCAATATTGGAAGTGCTGGAGTTACATTCATGATAAATAGACGGAGCATTATTGTACGAGTATTAGGTTTGATTCACCGAATAACATTTGGCAACATGGAACATGAATGTCATCAAGAGCCCGATCTCCAACAGGAATCCATCCTGATAATCAACAGCTTACATAACAACTAGTACAAGGACATAAGAAATAGTTCATTTTGTAAAGACAAAGCAAATAGCTAAGCCCTATATGCATCTGAAACTTGTCCAATACCAGTCAGACTGACAGTCGCTGAACCACGTTATTTTCCCTTCCATACAGACCCATGGGCGGATCCAGGAATTTTGAAAAGGGGGGCTTCAGGGGGTTCGAACCCCCTGAACCCCCCATTTGGCTCCGCCAATGCAAAAAAAATCTTTAATGTGGTCTTAAGTCATTTTCAAAAGGGGGGGTTCGAACCCCCCCTCTGGATCCGCCAATAAAGACCTTTCAACAATATTAAAGCCCTAAATGAAGCAAGTCTAGATTTCCACAGGTCCTGAATCTACCCCTCAACTGGGCTCCTTTTCAATTTGAAAGGAATTGGTTTCTGTCCATATTACATTCAGAGATGAAGTGTTAGTCTAGTCATATACCTAAACCTAGTAACAATGTATGTGAGCTTGCAAGATGAGCAAGCTCAGTCAATAACACTGTTTTAACAGTCCTTATACTATCACTGGCACAGACAAGAAGACCCTGGCACAAATTGAGGATGGTAATCTGAACTCGAAACTTGAGGACACTGAAAATGACATGACATCTACAGGGAACATAAAATGATATTACATGGAGTTCTTGAGGATCAGACAACGAGCAGTGAATCAAACATGGGTCGAGATCAAAGTCCCATTTACAAAAACTGATTGACACAAAACTTTAATAAACTTTAAAAGATACATGATAGGGACAGCAATATTATTGATATGTCATTTCCTAAAATCTGAAATACACAGTTCCATAATCCAAATTATACACTGACTGAGTTTGGTTTTACGCGCCGCTTTTAGCAATATTCCAGCAATATCACGGCGGGCGACACCAGAAATGGGGCCAAATTATACAAGAAATCGGCAAAACAAAAACTAATTGGATGTAGTGATCAATTCCCTTTTTTGAACTCCTATGAATATGTGATGGAACTAG